TCCGCACTTGTCTTTAATTTGGTATCAGAGCCATCTGACGGCCTGGTGTATTACCTCTGAAATTTCATTTGAGTCATCTAACTCATCTAGAAATCTTTATCTGTTTCTTCTTTTAAATTCATTTGTAAGTAGATTCGCACCCTATCACCCAACCTTAATCCAGACCCTCAAGAGTACGTAATCCACCCAGTGTCCCAAGTGTAAGTCCTAGAATTGGCAGATAGGGATCGTTGGCGAGAAGTTGAGAGAAATTGGAGCCAGATTAGGGGGTATGTATAGTGTCGTCAAACTTACATATTAATTTAAAATTAGATAACAATTTAGATTTTAAAAATGAGTAGATTATTCAGATCTAATTCTAGAGCTAGTACATCTAGATCTTCAGATTATTCTATGCCACATAGAGTAAATGAGGAAGAATTAGAAATAGAATAATTAAAAACAGACTGGAAGAAATGGAATATTCCTCCAGTTAAAGAAAAAAATATTTATAGCACAACTTGGGTTCAGAAAACCTTTAGTGAAGAACACAAAGTTAAAACTGTTGAACAGGTTCATCCACACCACACACCACAGACGACTTCAGACAAAACACAGAGAGGTAAGGCGATCGCGATCGCAATGCCGATGTCGATGTCGAAGTCGGAGTGGGAGAGAGAGAGAAAGAGAGAAAGAAGAAGAAGATATCTCGGGCTCGTGGTCGCAGCGATGAAGAAGGCTCTGCGTGGAAAATCCAAGCCCTAGATCTGCATGAAAAACTCGAAAATGGCTGGATCTGCTCAAATCTGGACTCAAGGTAAATATTTTTCAGACATAGCTTATAAGAATACCTCAAACAACCATTGAAATGATGTTGTCGTTTCATCATACAATAATGCAGCTTCAAATAAGACTATCTCCCTGAAATGGTTGAAGCCAGTAAAACAAGCAAATGGTCGATACTCCTTGTTCATTCTAAAAATAGTGACAAAATCCCAAAAGTTGTCATAATCAATAATCATCCTTGGGTCGGCCCAAAAAATATTAGTAATATGTTCTTCCACATCCAATTGCACTACATAATAGAATGATGGATTTTTAACTGATTCCGTTTGAAAATACTTTAACAAACTACCCGCCTCACCATACCTCAAGTCTCGTTGCCTTCTTTCACGGAGGTAATTCTTTTGGTCTTGACAAGTAAAACCTAGACTTTCCTTTCCTCCCGACTGAGTACTTAAAAGTTCATAGGAAGCCTTAAGTGATATTCCAAAATCTGCTGTCATATCAATATTAATGTCTTGTGCTCCAGTAACCTTCCCTTGGGATGACATCATATGCATACACTCAGTAAAATGCAAATGATGGTTGTGGTTATCGTCCCATTTTACCACAAAAAATTTGTCAATTTCTCCATTAAGAGATATACACATATGAGCTTGAAATTTTGTTCATGTCTCTGCTCGAGGTTTCCTTATTTGCCACTTTCTTTTATCACAAACCATTTGACATTGTTTACAACAAGTATATTTTCTGTAAATGACAACGTCATCTTTCAAATTTTTATTCTAAAAATATTTTCTCACTCTAAATCCTACAAAGCCTTCATAATTATTGTAAAACGCATAAACATCTTCTTCAGTATCAAATTACATATCAATATGAAGTCTATTCTCAGTCGCATTAACTCCAAAATCATCCATCATAGTATCCTACAATAAGAAATTTAATTAAAATGACATTATGTGGTGAATGAAGTACATAATATATGTATGACGTTAAAAAAAAAAAAGCAAACTGGAACAATATTGACCACAAAAATAGAAAATATTAATTGTTTGAAAATATTAATATTATTAACTCAACAAGGTCTTGAAACAAATGAGTAAATGGACAACTAAAGTTTTTGATGTGGAGTTGATGAGATTTCAAAACATTGGAGAAAAGATGGTGCAAATGCTGCAAATTGCCATGGCATGTGTTGCAAGGGTGCTAGATATGCGGCTCAACATTGATGAAGTTGTTAGAATAATCGAATAAGTTTGACAATCTAACTCAGAAAATTGGCCATCTTTTGAAGAGAACAAATCCAAAGACTCAAATGTGCAGACTCCATGATTTTCTAGGAACTCATATTTTTTTTTTTCAAGTTGTTTAGCCGTATGTTATGAAAAATTCATCTAATTCAAGACCCAATCAAATACCTCCATACACATATGCATATATTGGGAAGCTATATAATAATGAAATATCTCTATTAATTTCATAATGAAACATACACATATTAAATCTAGTTTCAATACCGTACCGTCATTTGATGAAGAGGTATGACTTTGGTGTTCAATGCATTTGACGAAGAAGAATAGGGAGAATGAGTCGATAAGAAGGCGGGAGAAGCAATCGTCAAATTGGGTTACAGTTTGACGAAGAAGAAGCGGGAGAAAGCAAAAGGATTTATGATTTTGATTTCAATGACCCAAACGACGTCGTTTTTGATAAGGACAATTAAAAAAAATTGCAAAAAGCATCAAAATGTTGTCATTCCACTTAACAACATGATATGCGGTAACCCACTTTCTGTAGAGGAGCTACACCCGGTTGAGAGATAGCCAAATAAAAGAGAGTCTATAAAAAAGAGGGCATTTTTGCCTTTTTAATGAAAAGTTGACTTTGATCAAAAGAAATTGCACTTGCACTCTATAGTCTATACTACTTGGCATGTGCATTACAAATTTTGTCAATTTGGACAGAATTTGTAACGGTAGCATTTCAATCCAAAAACATAAGGGGTAAAGTGCAACTAACCCAAACCAAAAGGGGTTAAAAAGGAAGGCGGTGACTGCGATGTCGATTGGATAAGGGGTGGCATTGGTGTTTTTCGTTAGTGTCCTTGGTAAGTGGAGTAGTTGATTGTCCAGTCAGTGATGCACAACCACTTGTTGAGATAGAATGAATTTGAATTTTTTTGGTTGAATTAATTGACTAAATGAATTCTCTTAAATGTTATTTTTGATTGAATTGATTTGTGATTAGAATTATTATTGAAGTGAGTTATGGTGGTAAGTTTTTGGTGATGGTTATGGTGGAGGTAGAGGTTGGGCGGTGCTGTTGACAGTGAAGGTGGATATGTGAAAATGGTGGCAAGGTATACAGGGAAAGAAAGTAACTATAAAGATTATGGTTGGAATGGTAGTTTAGGACTTCAACATTTTTCATCCATTCAGTTAGTCAATTTAGTCCAATGAGAACTTGAGGGGAGTAAATTTCTTAAACTTAAATAAGAGAGAGCTGATTGTAATGTGACCTAAAGTTGAAGGGGACATTTTATAATTAACCTAATATATTTATAAGGTCTAATTTAAAATTTTTTGTCAATTATTAATAAAACCTCCTTTGTACCGTCAAGGTTAAAATCCCCCAAAAAAAATTAAAAAAGAAAGAAAGAAAGACTAATAGACCATGTTAGTGTTTTCCTCTTCTCTTTGAAAGAGGAATATATTCTTTATTGACCCAAATCCAATGCTAACACGTCACAAGTCAGATGGATAGCACCAGCATCCTAATAATTCCTGTGGTAGCAGAAATTCCCATCCACTCGCTACTTTTTTTTAAAAGAATCGTGAGCAAAAAATTTCGTACTCGGTGCATAACGCTGTTGTGCATAGTCGGGTCTCACGAGCTAACGATAGATAATTGTGACAAATGTCACACACTAATTGCAAATCCTTTTCCATATATAGCATTGATGTGGCTTTAGAAAGAGGCTCCTCCTCCTGCAGGGCTTTTCGATATTGAATCAAAATTCATCAATCAAAACTCAACAACAAAGAGGTTAACTATTGAACACAATCCAATAAGAACAACATACCACATTTTATAAATCACTTGTGCTAATGCCTCTTAAGCTGCTTAAATCATTGTGATATTACACTGACAAAGACTTTATGCTATTTTATCTACTTATATATTTCAACAGCACAGTTTTTTAATATAATATCTCACCCTCACGACATAATCAACCAACGACATTGGGCCATCGGTACTCCAAGCGTCCCAAGATCAGGGGTCACATGAACTCAAAAGGGTAATTTAACACTACGCTCCATTGCAAAGGACAATTTAACATCACCAAGAGAACAGATCATTTGATTTGCACTGCTCTGAAAAGAATTCCTTATCCCAGCAGCTTTTCAAGCAGTGCTTTTTTGCATGATTGAAAGTTGCACTCATATTGCGCAGACGAAATCGCCACTCGTCTCTATGTCATCTATGTCAGCATCAGTATCTATATCGTCAAGATCCATGCTGCCTCTAACAAAGTGCCCTCCAACTTTGGGCTCCTCTGTGGGCTTTCTTGCTTCCTGTACTATGGCCAACACTTCTTCAATACTTTGAGATGCACACTCTGTGTCCAAGCTAGCTTCCTCTCCTTCCATAAATTCCAGTGGCAAGTTTTTCAAGAACCATGGGTGCTTCTTAATTTCTGAAATGGTGATTCTCTGTTCACAAAATACAAACCAATTAAAAGTTAATACAAAAGCTTCATAAAATCAACAAATGATCGATGGTCAAGAAAGATATGTTCAAACGATTTTATTAAGAAATTAGGTAACCTTTTCCGGGTTAGCTACAAATATTCGAGATAAGAGATGTCTACAATCCATGGTGAGTCGGACATAGTCTGGAATTGAGTAGTGAACGCTAAGTATCCGCTGCCATATGTCATTGACAATTTATAATGAAAAAAAATTGGAACAAAACAAAGCAAAAGTCAATTGGAAATTGAATATTGGCACCATGACTCACAGAAATGGTTTTCCTAAAATTTTTTGGATCATCAGGATCTTCAAATGGATAAGCACCAACCAGCATGACATATAAGGTAACCCCACAAGACCAAACATCTGCAATCTATAGAATTCAAGGATAACATATAGATCTTGGGTCTTAGGTGACAATACCAAGACCTAAAACAGAATGGTTAAAAGTTAAAAAGAAATCGGTACTAAGCATTTACCTTCCCATCATATTCTTTTCTGGTTAAGACCTCTGGAGCAATGTAGGCTGGTGTTCCTACGGTAGATTTGGGTTGGGAATGCAACACTGATGACTAAAAAATTACCTACACTGGTTAGTAAAACTGAATTCACAGGCAAACTGTATTGGGAGCTGAAGAATTTCAAAAGTGATTGCCTTAGAATAGCCAAAATCGCATATTTTAAGGCGTGGTGCTGAGCTTCCATCTAAAAGTGTGTTTTCCAGCTTAAGATCTCTATGGCATATTCCCTGCAATCCAAAAGAATAATTGAAATTGAGCACAAAACGCGAGTCCAGAAATAAGTTATGTACAAAGGAATAACTATTTTTGTTACTTGGATGGCTCAGAGTAATACAATTGAATGGCAGTAACTGACTCCTGATATCAGTTGTTGGAAGAAAAATCTTGCCTGAACATATGCATATAGAAAAGAAAACAGTTAACATTTTTGGAGTATCCTAATTTGCAAAGAGAAAGAAACTATGACTCTGCAACAGATCTCAATGGCTAACTAGTCTCAAAGGCATGCCCTTCAAAGCATGTAAGATTAGCATAATAACACATAAGATATCCATTAATAAAACGACTGTATACATTGACAGCAAATAATACCAGCTCCACAGCAAAGAGGTGTCTGCAACATTAACTAAACTGTGCAAGATTGGAATTATCCTATATAGTTAAGTTAACCTCATCTTCACTGAATCTCCCAGCACTGCATATTCTTTCAAAAAGTTCTCCTCCAGCAGCATATTCCATGACTATGGCTAGATGAGTTGGTGTTAGCAACACCTGCATAGCAATAACTCATTTGCTAAATCATCATCTAAAATAGTAAAGGGTCAGAAATTTATTCCACGATGGCAAAACTTATTAGTTTGTATTTGCCAACAAAATGATAACCATCCACTGAATCCACAGCTTTAAGTCTCAAGTGAAATAATTTAGCTTACCAATTCTTTTCCTTTTTCGCTTGGCTTTGTCTTAGAAGCCTTTGGAATTAACCGAGAGGTTACATTATAAACAGTGAGGACGAACACTTAACTTTTTCCCAGTTCAGTTGACATGGAACAGACAAAAGGGAAATAAATTTCAGAACTATCACCGACTGTAATTACCATCGCTCTAATAAGATTCCTGAAAATTTTTAATTTCTTTTCCTCTTCAAAGCCTACAAGGAATGCTGTAAGGATGATAATCTTTAAATGTTGACATCAAGGTATCAAAGAATATGAAGCAAGCTCAACTGAAACAATTCATCTAAGTTGCAAATGGGTATCTGATTCATACAACTCACCCAACGGAACCTAACTTTGACACGAAAAAAATAATAGAAAAGGCAAATTGTACTTTGCACTAACTAGGAAGTACTCGCTATACTGTGACTAAATTCTGGCCTGGAAATTCTTGCTTCAGCTCCTACGACTAAATAATTTGTGAATACAGAAAAGAAGAGGAATAACATAAAACAAAAATGAACCCAATTTTGAGCCAGTTTGTTTCTATTTAGTCTCTAGGTTATAAACCAAATAATAAAATAAGATAGATCTTTAACAATCCCCTATATCCAATATGCAGAGGGGAGAATAACATTATCACACGGACAGTTAATTAATATATTACCTCCTTGAATCTAATTATATTGGGGTGCTTCAAAGACCTATGGTTCATGATTTCCCTCTGCACATGTTCATCAATCTGTAAACCAAAAGAAAAGTCCCAATCAATCCACGAAATTAAAAACCCAGATTATAAAACCAAAACCCAGGTGAATTATGAAGAAACAAAGACATCCTAGTGAGTAATCACACACATTCACACAAATATGAAATGAAGAGAGAGAAAGATGAAGTAGACCTTCTGAACTTTCTCAATACACTTGACAGCATGAAGAAAAACCAAGATTATAAAAACAAAACCCACGTGAATTATGCAGAAAAACACACATTATGGTTTCAGCATGAATTATAATTTCAAAACAATTAACCATTGAAATGAGAGAGAGAGAGAGAGAGAAGAAGCAGACCTTCTGCCCTCTCTCAATATACTTGACAGCATGAAGTTCACCAGTGAATCTATCTTTCACAAGCTTGGCCACACCAAAGTTCCCAGACCCTATGACCTTCAAAACCTCGTACCTTTCCATAATTATCAGCTGCCTCCAATACTACTACTAACTCCAAACACACATGAAAGAAATACAAATATACTCTTATCTCCTCTCCTTCCTCTTTCACTGTCTGTATCGGTTTATATAAGAATCTGCTAGTTGTGGAAAATGAGAAAATGGAGAGATGTAAAGCTTTGTGATTTAGGCACCAAGTAATAAACTGTCCAAAATCCAAATCTTGCAAACTGGTAACTCTGGTGTTATTGTTACTGTTGTACATACATGCACAATTTTGACGGGTGAAATGTGGAATATGATGACACGTGGCATGATGCAAGTGGTCAGAAATTCGGATAGAACTTAACAAGTTCCTAATAACTTGACGTTTTCGGGGTAATCCTCTTTTCATGCTGGGTACGTATATATATATATATATATATATATATATATATATATATATATATATATATATATATATATATCTCATGTTAAAATTTGTTTTAAGTAATATTTGTTTGTGTATGGTCATTTATAAATTATTAATAATTATTTATTTCCAAGTTTCTAGCATGTGCATGTATAAAAATTAAAATTACACCCAACATAATCTAATATCGAATTTATATCTGATTAGGTTGACATACTTGACCATCTTTGTATACTTCTTCAATATTTCCCAACTAATCTCAACTTTCAAATTGTACAAATAGCTTATGATGCTGTTGTATGGGTGTGTAGTGTGAGTTAAAGTAAATTGACAGCTGAAATGAAATAACATGAGAAATACAGAGCTTCAACAACGTATATAATATTAGCAACACGGGCATATATTTAAAATAATATTTTTTTTATAAAAATTTAACTTATATTTTTAATTTATTTTAATAATAAATTATATGTTGAATAATTAAATATTATTTTAATTATTACTAAACTTAATTATTAATCTATTCTACCTCTCTTTAAGTACCTAATATGTTATTTTTTTAGGTATTTTTTCAGCTTGTTTAAATATTTTGTTCTTTTATTTATTGTGGATTTTCATTGTAAAATTGTCACTCTCGAGTATTTGCAACACTAAATATATTATTATATTTTTTGTCAAAGAGATTGATTAAATTGTAAACTATTATTTATATTATAGAATCATGATATTGTTGCATACAAACAAAAATCAAATGTGACAAATATTGGACAGTAAAATTCAATCTTCCAACCATATATGTCAAATAATAGAATATAAATCGAAAATAATAATAATAAAAGAGTTCAAGAAAACTTAAAAATCTAATTGGTATAGAAAATAAACTTTGTATGAAAGCAAATATGTGGATAGAATTGATTTATAATAATAATTAGGGATAAATTAGAAAATTAATTTTTTTTTACAGATGCTAACATTTATAAATAGTATAAATATAAATATAAATATAAATATATATATATATATATATATATATATATATATATATATATATATATATATATAAGTTGGATTGCATAGTAAAAATAAAATATAACCTTGCTACGTTGTTACAAGATATTTTTTTTTTTGCAACAACAATGTCATAAAATTAAAATATCAAATTTACTACTAGGAGAAGGGAATGCAAACCATTATTATGACTAGTAAAACTCAACCCGAACCGATTCAACCCGTGACAAGGGTAAGCCGTTTCGAGTAAAGATTGGTTTTTGAACAACAAGTTTTCTCAGTGCTGAAAAAATAATTCTATACATAATATATGTTTTTCAAATTTTCAGTAAACTTTCAAAGTATTTTGGCTGTTAAAATTAGATAAAATTCTAATTTTTTTTTTTCATAATGAAAAGGATGAAAAATTACTTTCCGACAAAAAACAAATGGAGAAAATTGACGTAGACGGCTGAGAAGAAATGAACGGTGAGAAGCATAGGAGAAAGGCCGGAGGGTAGTGGGGTCCGCACCGATTTGGGAGTTTCTGAAAAGGGTACCCCACGAGGTAACGTTAATTTTCCTTGTCATCGTTCTTTTCTATATTTGAAAATCATATGTAATGTGAGGGAAATTACAACTAAGGTGACATCGACATGTCTTACATACAGTACTAAGATTTCTCGTGCACTATCTATTTTGTTGTGAATTAGCACACACGATTAAGGATATGCACTATTTGTTTTAATGGGGTTAAAATAAAAGTCGATTATTAAAATTTAAGTGGTCAAATGTCTGATAGTTAAAACTTAAATAAATAGATAGATTTATTACAATTAGAATGGATAGACAGATTTATTATAATTAAAATAAGCCATGTATCATAAAAGATAGAAAAAATTTCAGTTACATCTTTTCTAGTTCATTATATCGGTATGCTCTATTTTGGTAGGGATGATGGAAAGTAAAAAAGATACAATTTCTCTTCTCTAATGAAAGAAAATAAGAATGATACATTTTCCTTCCTTTGTGTTTTATAGAATGGAAGAAAAATAAAAATGATTAAATTTTTTTTTTAAATTTTTTTTTTAAAAAAATATAAATACATATTTTATCATTATATTTAAATATAAAATTAATATATACATAATATATGTATATATCAAATGATATAAAGACAAAAAAGATACATTTTAATATAAATAATTAACTTCCATCCAATTTTGGAACGATTGATTTTTGTGAATTGGAAGGAAAACTCATTCATCCACTTTTTCATCTTTCTAATTTTCCTTTTTTACTAAATATAGTGTTTTATCTATCTCTCAAACTTTCTATTTTTCTATCCTTCCATTTTTTCATCGTACTAAACGAAGTATTAAGGACACATCTTCTATTTTTTGAATATTTACTGACACTCATTGTCAGATTAAAGGTGTTAATTATAATATAATTTTACTAAATTGCATATGATATATTTTAGAAAAAAACTTAATCTACAACCTCTTTAGATAGACATATCTTCAATTAGACTCTCTTTATTTTCTAATTTTTTTAAGTATTAAAATTAGAGCCAATTAAAATTCGAATCAAACTAATTAAATTTTTTTATGTATTAAAATTTGAGTCGATTAAAAATTATATTTTTTAAGTATTAAAATTTGAGCAGATTACAATTCTATTCAAGACTCAAATCAAATTTTAATCACTTGTATAAATTTTAATCGTCCCAATTTTTGATACATAAAAAAATATAAAATTTAATTAATTCAAATTTTAATAAGTAAAAAAAAAATTTCATCAACTTGAATCAAATTTTAATGAATAAAAAATATAAATTTTATTCAATTTGAAGAGAGTTTTAATCAGGGCTAACAGCTCATGTAAAACTCAAATTTACTCGAATTTTAATAATTAAAAAAGAAAGATTTTTAATACGCTCAAATTTTAATACTTAAAAAAATAAAATTTAGTCAACTCGAATTGAATTTTAACCGATTCAAATTTTAATATGTAAAAAAAATTAATTAGCTAGAATTTTAATATTATAAAAATAAATTTTAATCAGCTCAAATTTTATGTAGAAAGATTGTTTGGGGTTTATGTAAGGAAAATTTTGATATTTTAGATAATTTATTTTTGTTATAAATAATGGTTTAATGATAGAGGGTGTCAGTGATGTTTAAATATAAATTAGGAGTGTCAGAGATATTTTTGATAATAGAGAATTCGTTTTTAAAGACATGGTAAAATATAAAAGGTATGACTGAAATTTTTCCAAAAAAGTAATCAATCAGAACTATTATTTTATTTTATGCGTCTTTTTATTCTATAAATGTTCAATCAACTCAATTATGTATTAGATTAAGTTCAATGAGTCGATACCAATTCCGCTTGACTTAATACAGTTCAAATAGGAATAATCTAAGAAGGGGTTCAGTCGAAGTCTATTAAGCCGATGCATATATCACATACATTTTATCAACATAAATTTTTATTTATACAAGGAATTTCATAAGAACATAATTATTCATAAGAACAAAACGATATCAGACTTACGAGATAAATTATGATATTACTAAGTTTTACAAATTTTGTGGGTTGAGATACAAGTTATTTTGGTTTGTTTACAACAAAAGGAGGGGGGGGGGGGGGGCATATTACAACTTTTAGAGTAAAAGTTATAATTTTGTGGTATTTGAGATCGTTCCAAAAATAATTAAGATTTGATTTGAAATCGATCCTAAATACACCAAAAACTATAAATGACTTCTAAAATTCATAAAAAAATAAAAATAAAAATTCCGAACTTAGAAATGACAATATGATACTAGAATTTTTATCTCACTTCCGTGGGAAAGACTATGATACCGTATCGAAAATTATAATTTTTTAAGGTTAAGTTATAATTTTTTTGAAGTGTAAATTACAACTTTTAAAAAATATGATCGATCATAAGAGCTTGCGAATAATATCGAGATTATAACTTTCAAATGTTAAGTTACAATTTTTAAAGGTCAACTTACAACTCATAAGAAAAAAATTATTACTGAGAAAGAGAAAATCATGATCGATCACGAGACTTTGTGATCAATTATAATTTTTTATCTTAAGCAGTTGTAATTTTTTATTTTAAATTTATAGTTTTACTATAAAAAGTTGTACCATATTATTGTACCGTAAAGTTTCCCCAGAGTCTCCTCCCGGACTTGCCCAAAAACAAATGATGTCGGGGCATAAATGGAAATTGGTCAGAGGGAATTGGGCCAAAGAATTAAATGTTGGGTCAACAAAGTGGCAAAGCAGTTGGACTGGACCACTGGTTAAAGAAACTATCTGATAAGTCTCTGACCCCACGGTGCGTCCTTCATAAGGTAAAAGGTGTGGGTCAATCCCATTTATTCTGAAACCAAAGGCAGACAATGTAGTGGTGTTATTGATAATTATGCCCCTATTACATTTGTATAGCACATTGTTTTTATGGCTTGACGTGACACAATTATAATAATTGATTGTTTAAAAAGTTCAATAGAATCAACTAATTTAGCGATTCATGTTAGATTGTTCACAAAGGTGACACAAATAATTATGAGGGTAGCATTGTTGCATTGTTACTTTCATGATTATAACTATTTTAGAAAGGACGATAATCTTAAATCATTATTCATTAATCCATCCATAAATAATTAGGTTGAATATCTATATTAATTAATACAAATCATAAGTGGATTGGATAATATGATTCATTTTAATTAAGTAGGTTAAAATGAATTACAAATGAGTACTTTATCTTTTTATTAAATAACACAAATAATAAAATTAAATAACTATATT